GTCCCATCGTGGGGGTAGACACTCAGTTCAGCTGATGCGTTTTGAAGGCCATACCTACTATGTAGCTCTGATGAAGAAGGTATGGCCTTAGAAACGCATCAGCTGAACTGAGTGTCTACCCCCACGATGGGACTCGCGCTGGCTCCTTATCTTTGAAGTCCCTGTGAGGACTTACATGCCTGATTTTATTTGCTGTTTGTGAGTACCTTTTCTTATTAATACATTTTTGTTTATTGAGGTAATGCGCAAGGTCTGTGCGCTTCTCGTTTTTGTTTCGCTTTGTAGTGCTACAAGAGAATGTCAGAGATTGCAGACATGCATCAGGAAATAGAGACTGCAAACCAGGGGTGGACTGACCATTTGGAAACTCGGGCACTGTCCGAGGGCCCGGGGTCAGTAGGGGGTCCCATAAGATGCCCCTGGTACCTTTTTCATAGGCTTTTTTGAGTTTGGGCAAGGACACAGGGGCCCCATGATCCCCTATTGCCCAGGGGCCCCATGAATTGTCAGTCCGCCCCTGCTGCAAACATGCTCCAGTTGTTGGAGACTGAGAACATGCATCAGGAGACAGTCACAGGCTGGAGACATATCACACGAGACTGCTAGAGATCACTGCTATTACAATCCCATTACAATGCTTCCAATTCTGTGTTCCCTACAGGCCCCTAAAACATGATATGTTCCACATTTTATATTTATCTTAAGATGAATTCTAAAAGATCGTTGGTAAAAAAATTCAAAGACAGAAGGGATTGACAGGGATGGAAAACTTGAAAGAAATAAAGACAACCATTTAACTACTAGAACCCAGTCTAAGAAATATTTTCCTTTTGCAGACCTGAGTAAGCATATAGGTAATTGAAACACAGACTACATTCTGATGGGACTCTGAGGGCTGCCTAAGTTCTAAAGAGCTGCAAATTGAAGAACTGAAGAAGATGAAGCACTGCAGAACCTAGTTTAGAGCAGCAGCGAAAAGCTACATTTGTCTGCATGTATTGGGGTGTAGGTCCCTTTTATGGTAGGCTCCCTGTTATGTTACTAGTATCCTGCCTGTCATTTTGGTTTCTTGGAACATATTTACGTTTTTAATGGGAGGGTCTGAGGTTGGTTTGTGAGTGGGTGCAAAGGGATGTGGGAGCAAGACACAAGAGTCCAGTTGCAGATAAACTCAGAAGACAGAATGAAGCCTGGCCAGTCTGGTCACAAAAGGGAGCCTACAGTATAGGTTAGCAAGTCCCTAGCCTGTCCCTACGAGGCAAGTGCTCTCTCCCTATTCTTGTCACTTCATAAAATGCACATCGAAACCTGGGGGCAGGGACTTATAAAGACTCTGCTTACCCAAACATGGCCACAACGGTCAGCTAGATACAGCATAGTCAACCAGAACGCTGCCTCTAGAGACCAGGAAACCAGGTTTTCTGTGATTTCCTCTCCAGACTGTGATACTGCTCCGGTCTGGCACCACCTACAGCCGAAAAAAACAGACTTCACCTGCCTACAGGTTGTAAGGGAGTGAAGACGGCCTCATTTTAAGAAGGACCTGTTTCTCTGGTTGGGCAAAAGCATCTGTGCCAATATGTAAACAACCTGTTGGTGGGCACTTTACACTTTGGGTGAAAGAAATGGCCTTCTTTCCTTAGAGATTGGATTCAGAATTGTATATTTACGGTATTTTGTATGTCAGAGCTATGGATACATTTTGCATATACCAGGTGCAGTTACAAAGGCTTTCCTCCTGGTGTCTCTAGATGGCACTGTGAAAAGTTCCATGTTGTTGAATTTGTAAACAAAGGATAAACTGTAATACAGTTACATTGTTAAGGAATATGACTACTTTGCAGGATTTTAATAATAATTTCTGGTCTGGACATTCCTGGTATTAAGAATATCTTCCCAATTCAAGAACCTGCAAGACTGACTTTGTCACGCTGAAATCTCTTCATGTACCTGTAGAGCAAGAGCATGGGACGCTATAATAGTGGACACTGTGGTGACCCTGAGTATTTGGGATATTTAACCTCTGCTGTGGGACATGGAGGGCTCCAACTAGACTGGTTGGGAAGCCACTGTTGGGTCCTGGAGTTCGAGTTAACCCTCAGGATCAGAAGCAAGGGTAGACCCCTGAATTTGGGGAAATCTTTTTGTATAGCCCTGAACTGAAGTATGCAAGTACACCATGTAATTATCTGCTCTGCAGAAGTTAGTTCCTATGAAGCCCATACTACATGCATCTGAGGTCTGTCATTGCATTGGATGAGATATATCTGTAGCTTCACATAAACTCCTATACTTTAAAGCAAAATAAAGCAAGAAAATGTATTCTAGAAAACTATTATATATTACGTTAATCAGGAAAATAGAATGAAAATAGTAGCACAGATTATCCAGTTGAGTTAAAGTCTGTAAGGAAATATATTTCCATCAGATTTGGTACAGATAGACAAACAATGACAGCAGGATATGACCGTGTCAAAGTGTTTTAATAATTGTTTAGTTCCTGTGGATCTGATTCACTCGTCTGGGAGAGCTGCCGTACTGAGCGTTTAGTCATATTGCCTATTGCATCAATGACCTTCTAGAGGTCGTGTCAAGGGTATGCGTCTGTTAATACATTTTAATAGCAAACACCTCTGAAGTGGCAAGAAGTCTCCACAGTCCTCATTTGTATAACCTGTGGAAAGCATGGGACTTGTAATTGGGCTCATCCTGTGAAACGGTTCGATGTGTGATATGCTTAATTTGCTGCCGTCCTTGTGAAACATATTAATGTTGCTTATAATAGTACAAAGCATGTGACAAGCTGGAGTTTTTACAAGGACAAAAATAACTTCAAAATCTGTGGGCTTGGCACACATAAACCCTTCTTAATAGGTGTATTTTATATATGTTGGATTGCACAATAATGCAGTGGTGTAGCCACATCGTCCCTGTGCGATCGCTATGCGAGCCTTGGACAAGGGCTCCAAAAACTGCTTTCCCTTTACTAAACTGCAGTCTATAAACCCATAAACCCTTATTATGTAGAGTGCACAAGTGAAAAGTTGCTGGCATAAATAGACTGAGCACAGAGCAGTGATGCTTTCTATGCACCCTCTTACATTGGTCATGTGTCCCAACAGGCCTTCAACAAGATGGCTGTTTCATTACTATGGTATGTGGTCCTTCCAGCTAAGAAGAGGTTGCTTTACAACGTGGCTCCTGGATTAGGCTACCTGCTGACCTAAGGTAAGTACAGGGGGGCAAAGGTAGAGGGGGAGCGTGGTCAGATTGGGTGAAGTTTTTTTTTTATATAACGACTACCCTTTCAATTTCCTGGGGACTACAGCATGTTGCTATCCCTCTTGCTACCCTCCTAGGAGCTCTGGTTGCCCCTGCCCCGCTTTGAGCTATTTCTATTCTATTGCTATTCCTCCTTATCCACTTGCCCTCCGGAAGATTTACCCCCCTTCATGACCAGGCCATTTTTTTGCTATATGGTGCTGCTCTACTTTAACTGACAATTGTGCAGTCATGCAACACTGTACACAAATAAAATTTTAATATTTTTTTCACACAAATAGAGTTTTCTTTTGGTGGTAGTTGATCATCACTGAATTTTTAATTGTTTGCGCTATAAGTGAAAAAAGACCGAATTAAAAAAGAAAATTATTATATTATTATTATTATACAGGATTTATATAGCGCCAACAGTTTGCTCTGCACTTTACAATATAACGGGAGACAATACAGCAACAACACAGTTCAATACACAAGGGAATTGAGGGTCCTGCTCCTTGGAGCTTACAATCTAGGAGGGAGGGGTTTAGTGGTACAAAAGGTAGTAACGGTGGGGGATGGACTGGTTGGAAGAGTAGAACTTTCCAGTATTAGCTGAGGGCAGGATAGGCTTCCCTGAAGAGATAGGTTTTCAGAGATGGTCTAAAAGTGAGCAGAGTAGGCGATAGTCTGATAAATTGGGGTAGAGAGTTCCAGAGGATGGGGGAAGCTCTGGAGAAGTCCTGGAGACGAGCAGGGGAGGAGGAGACAAGGGAGCTAGAGAGTAGGAGGTCTTGCGAGGAAAATCAATATATTTTACTATTTGCTATTAAACAGCCAATAAAAAAAATTGCTTTGGTAAAAAAAATTTACCAATTAATATAAACTTTAAAAAGTTTATATTAATTGGTTTGCGTGAAAGTAAAACTGCTACAGGGTGGTCGTCAACTAGAAATACAATACAACGCAACAGGGACAGTGTGTCTGCTTTTAATGGCTGAGACAGGTGTAAAGACCTAGGAAATACACCAAAGTCCCCAAAAGATAATTTTGTAGTTTTTTTAATAAACAATTCATGCAGAGTGCACTACTTTTAGAAAAAAGTCTAGGTTTTCTAACGAGAAAGACTAGCAGTGGTAGTCACAAAGGGGCTGATTTACTAAAACTGGAGAGTGCAAAATCTGGTGCATCTCTGCAAAGAAACTAATCAGCTTCCAGGTTTTATTGTCAGAGCTTAATTGATTAAGCTTGTAACAGAATCGGACCCCAGACCACACTTGGGTATTTTCCGTTATACTGCAGCTTCCCTGTCCGAACACCATCCACGGACCACACCCGATGATCATGCAGGAAAATAAGACAGCACCCGACTCTTCTTAAGACAGGAAGTCAACTCCTTTATTTCTACACAAAACACACGTTATATACACACGGCGGGGAAACACAACCAGGAACAGGAAACACATCATCAGCCCGCCCCATCAGTGGGAAGGGCTACAGGAAACACATCATCAGCCCGCCCCATCCAACCAAGACACAGAACAATGGGATGCAGCACATGGCAAAGGACAATAGACAGCCACATGGCAGGGAACAAAGGACAACACACCAATACACAATAGACATTCACATCCACACCCTGTAACTCTTAACAGGCACAGGTTGGTTAAACATAATAATTTGGGAAGATGATACAGGGGTCCCCCCACCCCCTAAAGTCACTCCCGTCACAAAGCTGTAGTTAGAAGCTGATTGGCTACCATGCACAGCTGCACCACATTTTGTACTCTCCAGTTTTAGTAAATCAACCCCTATGTGACTGTCGCTCTCTAATTGAATATCAATACGACCCCAGATGAACAGATCATAGAGGGACAGGGGATGAGGCTTTATCAACAAAGCAGTTAATGTGAGCCTAGTGAACAAGTGAAATGGAAACGACTGCTCCATCTCATAGCTGAAAACTGCTAAATATGAAATATTCATATGTAATGGTTTATATTCACTTGACTATATAAAAAAATCCTAACCCCCCCCCAAAAAAAATATACAAAATGACTATTATGTACCCACAACTATATTCATTTTTTTGTCATACAAGCAGCCATTTTTGAAGAAATACATCCAATTTATGCAAGGTACTTTCATAAGAATTGAGCACATAATCTGCTCCCCGGAAATATATAGTATGTATAAGAGTCCCATATCTATCAGAAGACCAACTTATCTCCAAGCTAAATTGTTCTCAAACAATTTCTGCATTTGCATAAGGAAGGGTAACTGAAAAAAAAAATCAAAGTTATTTTAACAGATTAAGGTCAGGTTGCTTAAATAAGGCACCAAACGCTGAGTCGGCGGTTCTGTCCACTGTTTCCTCATAGGCAGAATGGGAACAATGAACTAAACACAGCAGCATAGAAATAGTTTTTCTCTTGTGTCTTTATCTATAATTTATCAGGATAGGGCTTGATATCTTTTATTTATGCCATGACAGAGACATTTTCAGCTTTACTCAGGTTTCGGAGAAAATACATTAAAATAAGGCCAATCCAAGACATCTTCAACATGTTTTTGACCCTAAATTGGGTAAAAAAAATTCTAGCATGCCTTGTTATGATTTGTAGTACCTTAGAAATTTGGGGTGGAACAGGTTATAAACATAAGGACTAATTTAAACAACACCACTCAAAACATATTTTAAGTGAAGTATGGCAGGGTTCACCGAATGCCCACTTCTCCTCCTCTCCCTCCTGCAGGCATTCAGTAGGGACAGAAATGCACGGACTGGATCCTCTATGTACTACCCGGGATGCCCATCGCACCATTTCCTGCTGCCCTGAGCTCCTGTATACTCCCCCGGCAGCTGGCCCCCCTCATCCCCTGCTGCTGGGTTCCCCCCTCCCTGCGGCTGCTGAGGTTGATCTGTCAGGATAGACTGTCCCCTTGGGCTCTGCACTGAGGGAGCATCTCTCCCACAGCCCACAGCCAGTGCTGACAGCACCCCCCCCACCACAGACAGGAGAGAAGAGAGAAAGCTGGTTCTGCCCCTCCACCTCCCACCCTCTCCCCTGTGTTTGCCCCACCCACATTCCCCGCAGTCTTGTGTCTTCTCTCCCCTTTCTCTCCTTTCTTTCTTTCCCTCTCACCAAAGTCCTCCAAAGGGGGTTCTAAAATTAAAGCAAAAAATAATAAAATTGTAAAAAAAATAATATTAAATTAAATAAAAACCTACTGACACTAGTAGTGGAACTACCAGGGTTGCAAAGGTCGCTCCTGTGACTGGGCCCTGGTGTTACGCCACCGGGCTCCAAGGAAAGGGTCCCCAGGCTTGGGGCTGCTCAGTCTGTATTATAAAGCTTGGTCACCCTCCTTCTCCCAGCCTGTGAATGGACCATTAAAGAGGAGCTCATCCCTCTGCTCTCTTCTACGATCAGCATGTCCCTTGTCAACACATGAACACACAACACATCAACTTGAATCCAGCTGTGCCTAACTGGCTCTAGCACCACCCAACTCTCTCCTTTGCACCTTATTTGACCACTCAGGGAGCATACACTCTGTTCTGGAGATCAGGTTTTCTGCCCCACAGCAAACTAACTTTCCAGTTAGCAAAAGAGGGGGGTCCAATGGATTATCTACTATTATTTAGTGACAGGGCAGAGGGGGCTGTAGGGTCAGATTCCCACACCTTCACATTGTAAGTGACCTACTAGTTACTGATACACAGGTACTCCGGTATTAAACTAAGCCACAGAGAAATCTGATTTAAATGGACTGGCTCTTCCATATTAACCAGGTTGTGGCAGGGAGATGTTGGAGTTTTATTTCCTAGACCAGGGGTCTCCAAACTTTCTAAAAAAAGGGAGAGTTGACTGTCCTCCAGACTTTTGGGAGGCCAGACTGTGGCCAGTGGAAGTAGAAAATGTCCTGGCGACTGTGGAAGGAATAGTGCCCCATCTTAGGTATTAGGAAAAGGAATAGTGCCCCATTATTGGTTTCATTAGAAGGAACAGTGCCCCATCATTTGTGTCATGAGTAGGAATAGAATCCCATCGCTGGTGTCAGTGGGAGTAATAGTGTCCAATCCTTGGTAGCAGTGGAATTAATAGTGTCCCATCTTTGGTATCAGTGGGATGAATAGTGCCCTATCATTGATGTCAGTGGCAGGAATTATTGTTGTCAGTGGAAGAAGTGGTGGGAGCGGGAGGAATAATGCCCCATTGTTGGTATCAGTGGGAGGAATAGTGTCCCATCGTTAGTGTCAGTGGCAGGAATTATTGGTGTCCGTGTAAGAAATAATGGGAATAGGAGGAATAGTGTTCTATTGTGGGTGTCAGTGGAAGGAATAGTGACTCATTGGGGTTGATTTACTAAAGGCAAATAGTTTGTGCACTGCAAGTGCAGTTGCTCTAGATCTGAGGGGAAGCTCTGCTGCTTTCTATCATTCAATCATGTGTAAGCTGTTATTTATTTTTCTTGCAGGTGATTGAGTATTGCACAGTGTAGTTTTACCTCATTTACTAAGCTCTGAAGCAAATTGCACTTGCAGTGCACAGTATATTTGCCTTTAGTAAATCAAATTTGCCTTCCTCTAACAACTGAACCAAGTCACCAAAGACAGAATAAAATCATAACCCCACCTTTTTGACAAACCTGTACTGTATTGTACTATAAACCGAGGCAATAGAAAAATCAACTTCATTATCTTACTTTTATATGACAAAACAAACTGTTATATATTCATTCATCCCAATGGGAAACATTTACATTTTCCTTGTTGCCATGGGGGTCTATAGAGACCCAGTATGTTGTTTCTATGTCAGCATTCTGTAGACAACTGTAGATAAATCCAGACAGAGCCAGCTTAGCAATGAGCAAAATCTGAACATATTTAATGAAGCGCGGTGGATAAGTTACCACATAGTTGTTCAATCTGCTTGTGTATATGCAATAATGTTCAAGCATCCTTAAAAAACTCAAAGTTTTCAAAGTAGTCAAAAAGTACTCCGAGCCTTAATCCACATACTAATTGTTAAAAATATTCTTCCATTTCCGTCTGTGACTATCCCTCTAAATTTCTATAACCATCAAAAAATTAAAGATTTTCCACCTTTCATCTCTGGAAATTACATTTACTCTTTAATTGGGTTCTTTCCGAATTCCCCTTCTTCCTTATTCAATGGCTTCCTGATCTTTCCTGACGTTTGAACGGATCTTGAGTATGTCCTGCATCAACAGTTTAGTCAGTGGTAACATCTGCTGAGAGCAGCTAGTGTGAAAGTGAAGACCATGAACATATACCACCCCTACCCCTCTAGCCCATCATTGTCATGGGAGGTATGGTGACTAACAAATAGCAATGTTAAATGCAATCCAACTCCAGAAAATCCAAAAAGCTACCCCTGCAGTGGAAGGGGTGAAAGCTACTTTCTGCACTGAAAGGGTTAAATGCTTGCTAACTCTAGAGCACATGTGTCAAAAACAAGGCCAGTGGGCCGAATCTGGCCTTCCAGGCCATTTCATGTGGCCCTCACACCACTCCTGCTGCTGTGACATCCCTCTCATCTCTGCCCCCCTCCTTGTTACAGCAGTCAGCAGCAGAGAGGAGGACAGAACTCCTCCGCCAGATTATGCGCTTCTCTGTGTAGCTGTGGAGAGGCTGTCTCAGCAGTTAGCAGAGGAGTTGAAGACAGAACTCCTATAGATTCCTGCACCTCCTCACCCCCTCCTCTCCACCTCCCCCAGTCCTCCCCCAGTCTCCGCATTCAACAGACTCTGGAAGCTGACTTCAACCCTCCTCTGTTCCTCCTCCAGACACTGCACCTTCTGCTTCCCAGCTCTACCCCCAGCTCTTTCCCAGCAGCAGAACAAGGTAAGGGGGTGCCCTGTGATGTAAGGGAGGGTGGGGGACTATTGACTTCTGTAGTGGGGGCTCTTGACATCTGCTGTGGGGGGAAGGGGGGTGGTGGTGTGCTCTGGTCTAGTCTTATAGATATAACTGGCCTTTTGAGGGCAATTATAATGCTGATGCAGCCCACGATGAAACTGAGTTGGATTCCCTGCTCTACAGAATGAGGAATAGGGTGTATTACTTGCCTTACTCCTTGCTCTACCTGATGCCAGAATTCTCCTCAGCTACAGCCTGTGGGTGGTCCCTCGCTGTTCTTACACACAATGCCTGTCTATGTTCCCTGCATTGTACTTGATGACATCAACATGTGACTGCAGCCCAGAGCACCTTAAAGAAGCTTTGGGGGACTGTTGCACGTAGGAAAGGTGCCTGCCATAGAGAGGAGTGGGGAAAGAATTATGCCATATTCTTCTACCAGAAAGGGGTGCCAATATTTTTGGCCATGACTGTATGTATGTAAGTACCTGCTGATCTAGCCAGCTCAATAGAGTCCCCTATGCAGAGTGGCAATGCTTCTACTGGTGATCTCCATGGCGTCCCAATGCCACTCTGCCTGCCACATGCTCACTTTTTTTTGCTGTTATTAGTATATATATGTCACGTGCCTACCAGAACACACCAATCGGATCTGGCAGGTACAGGGCAAAAATGAAAACACACTGTAGTGAAGTGGACAAGAGGTAGCACATACTGAAAATAACCTCTGCACAAAGATTTCTCAGTTATTATAATGACAAAGGATAAAGATCAAGTGACCGACCAACAAAGATGGGAAAATGAGGTATTTACAATGATTTCCACAAAGCGATGTAATTATCATCAGTTTAATTATAGCATACACCACTTAGATCATGACTATGTTTACATGGGTTTAGATACACTTTAATGCACCATTGCAAATAGAGGTTAAACCTCT